TTTGTCTCTGTTGTGTCATCCAACTCAAGCTGTAAAACCTCATTCTCCTTTTCTCTTCTTGTTTCCTCAAGAGAGCGCGCCTTCCATTAAGGCAGGCGCGTTCTCTAAGCTATACAACGCCATGGTACCATTAGTGTCTCTTCTCCTTTTACTTTCCACAACCATTCATGGTCTTTCGGATTCCGAGGCTATCCTCAACTTCAAGAAATCTTTAGTTGTTGGGAAGGCAGACGCGTTGGCCACATGGGATGCTAAGAATCCTCCTTGCACTTGGGCTGGTGTCTTGTGCAATCGAGGCTCCGTTTGGGGGTTGCAAATGGAGAATTTGGAGCTTTCTGGTTCAATAGATATCGAGGCGTTGACGGGTTTGACATCGTTGAGGACTCTAAGCTTCATGAACAATAAGTTTGGAGGGCCATTCCCAGAGTTCAAGAAATTGCGTGCTCTCAAGTCACTTTACTTGTCGAACAATCAATTCGAAGGAACGATATCAGGAGATGCTTTTGAAGGTATGGGATGGTTAAAGAAGCTGCATTTGTCACAAAACAAGTTTGCCGGTGAAATCCCGATATCTATGTCCAAATTGCCCAAACTTTTAGACGTGAGGCTTGATGGGAACCAATTCAGTGGACAAATACCAGAATTTGAACATAACTTGCTAATGTTAAACCTTTCAAACAATGCATTAACGGGTCTAATCCCCGAGAGTTTCAGCATGATGGATCCCAAGGTGTTTGAAGGTAACAAAGGCTTATGTGGAAAACCATTGGAAATAGAGTGTGATTCTCCACAACTTGAGGGACAACCCAAATCATCAACAAAGGTGCCTCTCATTATAACGGGACTTGTTACGGCGCTAACGGTAATCATAATCCTTGGAGTGGTCTTCTTGCTAAACCGCAACTACAAGAAGAAACAACCTCCTTTAGCAGTGGAAACAAAAGAATCAAGCCTGCAGAAGAAAACCGGCATCCGAGAAGCGGAACATCGGAATGGCTCAAGCCCTGCTAAAAGTATGGCTACATCATCTGGAGTGGAGAACACAAAGCTTTCATTTTTGAGGGAAGATAAGGAAAAGTTTGATTTGCAAGATTTGTTAAAGGCTTCGGCCGAGATACTTGGAAGTGGATGTTTTGGAGCATCTTATAAAGCAGTGCTATCAAGCGGGAAAATGATGGTTGTGAAGAGGTTCAAGCATATGAACAATGCAGGGAGAGATGAGTTTCAAGATCACATGAAAAGATTGGGGAGGTTAAAGCACCATAATCTGCTTCCCATTGTGGCTTATTACTATCGGAAGGAAGAAAAGCTATTGGTATGTGATTTTGCTGAGAGAGGAAGCTTGTCATTTAATCTCCATGGTAAGTTTTGGTTACTTTTACACTTATCATTAGATACTGAATAGTGTCAACAAACAGTACAGAGCAGAGCGGTCTGTTCCCTACCACCTCCTAATGATTTATTGTTGGTTAAGAGTCAAATTTTTCTGGTGTATTATTAGGTAATCAAACGTTAGGAAAACCAAGTTTGGATTGGTCTACAAGACTGAAGATCGTGAAAGGAGTTGCAAGGGGGCTGTTTTATCTCCACCAAGATCTACCTAGCTTAATGGCTCCACATGGTCATCTCAAATCCTCAAACGTTCTCCTCACAAAAACATTTGAACCTCTTCTCACAGACTATGGCTTAATCCCATTGATCAACCAAGAGAAGGCACAAGATCACATGGTGGCCTACAAATCCCCAGAGTATTTGCTACATCGACGTGTCACCAAGAAAACCGATGTGTGGGGGCTTGGCATACTCATCTTGGAGATCCTAACAGGAAAATTCCCAGCAAATTTCTTGCGGGTTAACCAGAATGGTGAGGATTTAGTGAGTTGGGTTAACTTGAGCTTCAAAGGGGTATGGACACCTGATTTGTTTGATAAGGAGATGGCCAAGACAAAGCATTGTGAAGGACAGATTCTCCAACTCTTGAGGATTGGATTGAAATGTTGTGAAACGGACGTGGAGAAACGATTGGAGATAGGAGAGGCATTGGAGAAGATTGAGGAGTTGAAAGAACGCGAAAGCGATGATGACGATTTCTACTCAACTTATGTGAGTGAAACTGATGGGAGATCATCTAAAGGAGTGTCATGTGAGAGCATCAACTTGTAGTGAGAAGATGCTAGAGTTTGCTATTCTGATGCCTAAAACAAAATGTTTGAGACTCAAGTAGGTGAAAGCTTGATATGTGAGTTTAGCGTAAAATGTACCTGCAACAAACATGATACACAAATGCATGAATTACGCTGATTATTACACTTTGATGACATGATTTCGTTACATATATTGTAAATAGAACCTGAAATATATTCGCTTCCACATCAAAATGCTCCTGATAAAAGAACAAACCTATTACCTACATCCAAAACAAAACTAATGAAATGTCAAAAAATTAAGCTTTCTTCAATTTAGAAAGCAATAAATAATCTAGTGATATAGATATCTCTATTTTAACTATCAATTATATTATTTGAGAAGTGATAATCATCTTCCTCTATATATTAATAGGAGATACTAGGTGAAAATCCTAGGATTTTAAATTTTTTTTAATGAAAACTATTAAAACTTCTTAATGACATTATTGTGTAAATCATTAGAC